ATAAAAATTACAATAGCTCTGAAACTACTAAAGCAATGTACAGATTAATTCCCAGGGTATGCTTGCAGTGCATTTACATTATGCCTTTAAAATGAAACTTTCAGGAGGCAGACGTCCTTCCCAGTCCCTTAAATCCCCACCTATGTGTTCCTAAGGACTAAGAGAGGAGTCGCACCACGGAGAAAGCCAATCCAGTGATGACATAGCTGACATGTGAGCCACAGCACATGGTTTGTTGGCTTTAGGGCAGGTTATGTCAGAAGAGAAAAGGTTGCTGAGAAACCAACTGTTGGCTTACCAGTGAAGACTCCAGCATGCTCCTGAGGTCTGCGTTCATTTGCAAGGTGATGCAGTGTTGGAAGGTATGATGGCAAAACACTTGTTGTAGCTTGGCTGGGTCGGCCTTCGGTTTGTAGTTACACAGTTGGAGTTGCAGCTTCCTATTATTTATCTCATACAGTCTTCTCCAAGCGATCTGCTGGGGGCTTCTTATGTAACACTATTCCTATCGACTTCAGCAAAAACGCTGCAGTGTGAAAAATGTGCATAATGTACAACAGATTTAGCCCTGTTGGTACCTACAGACGTGTGGGTCCTTTTTGTCGCTTCTGGAACACGTTTCTAACAGCCTGGGGGAAGGAGGAAGGGAAAAAGCAAGAAGGAAAAAGAAAAAAAGGTAAAAGCAGCCTTGCAGGCAGCACCAGAAAATTACCACCACATTTTGCCAAGCTATTGCTGGCTCTTGAGGGGAAGAAAAAGCACTTTTGCTTCTCCATGTCATCCAGCCGCTCCATATTGCAGGACATGAGAGCAGCTTCCATGTGAGCACCAGAGCCAGCCAGCACCACCCTTGCAGATGGGTGTCCTCCAGTGAGCAGCAATTTCTCTTTCCTAGACACAGCTTTGCTGTAGCTCTGTTGTTGCATCACCGCTCATTCTATAAATCTGTCAATGTCTATTCAAGCCCGGAGCAAATCCATTTGCTACAACTCTTACAAGTACTAAAGCCCATCTGTGGAAGTCACACACAGGATTATTTCTGTCCTCTTCTCATTACAGACTCAGCAGTCTCATTTAAAAAGATATTTCCCAAACCAGGCTGGGAATATGTGCAATGTAGTCCCAAAGCCAAAGGCTTCAGCCGTACCAACGATGCCCAATGGAGGGAGCAGAGATGGGGCTCGTTGCGGCGTGGAACATTGCACCCACACGTTCTGGCAGCTAAGAGACCCAAGCCCTGATATTAAATGTGTTTGTGTGTGTGCTCAGGGAAAAGGGGTGCAGCCACTGCCCTTTTAGTCAGTTGGAGAAGTAAGCCCGAATCTTTCCAAGCATGACCTGGGATGTGTGCCATACTACTGCTATGTAATTTGGCTCTGCAGCTCTGAGCCATCCGAATTCTCCAGCCATCATTACTTTGCTTGGTTATCATTCATACATTTCTATATGCTAGTTTGCTTGGAAGAAAGAGGTTGAAAATTTACAGCTGGAGTGGATCAGTCTGTATTTTTGGAATTGGAGCTAAATTACCCACCAGTTGAAGCATTACTGTGTTTTACAATAATTGCTGATTAAAATTCAAATGCACTAAATTCCACCTGTCATTCCCAGCATTGCCTCCTCTTGTGACAATGCCAATGCCGTGAGTGGCTATGAATGAAAGGAGGGAAGGAACCAGTTTGCACATTTCCATGCTTTCATTCAGCCACAGTCTGTTCAATTTCAATCCTCTCTCCTAAACCCTCAGGATATCTTGCACAAAATGTCTGCTCTGCAGGAAGGTTTGTACAATGAAGACACTGTGGCTCGGATTTGCAGGGGCTGCTCCTTTGTTTCCATACCCATGCAGGACTGATGCCCATCTGCCTGAGCTGCAGACCTCTCTCATTTGTGGCCGATCAACCTGCTACTTCAATACGCAGGCACTTAGGATTACTGATCTGGTTTCCAGGTGGGTTTTCTCTTATGAAGCCTTTGAGAGGAGCTAGATGGACTGTGCAAGTCCTGCTTAACCTCCTGGGTTTTCTCCTTGGCCGTAGGATGCGCCTCAGGCCCATTTCTCTCCAGCTCTGTTGAATTTTCCCATGACTGCACAACCTCTGACTGGTTAAGCTCCACAGTCCTTTCCTTCTCCCCCAGTGCCTCCTCCAGTTCAGCGTTTTTGGCTTTCTTCCTGCTTTTGATTTCTCATTTTCTTTTTCTGTCAAGCTTTCTGTGCCCAGCATTTCCAAGCCCAGAGAGCCAAGGAGTAGCACAGCCTCCAGAAAGATGTTGTGCTTAGAAATCAGGGCAGGGGATAATAAGCAAATACCTGATCCTAAGATATTTTTCCCATGTAAATGTTTCCTCTTCCCTTTTGCTTGTGGCTGAGTATTGCAACAGATTACATTTGTCTGCAAATTACTACTACCTGTACTTTATCAGTCAGGGCCCATGTTTCAGTCAATTGGATCTTCAGAAAAGAGACAGTCTGATTTAACTCCCCTTTGCTGTCTGAACCAAAGGGGGAAAAAAGTCAATAAATCAACATTTGAGAAGGCAGAGTGAAGCAGAGATTGTCATCTGAATGATACCCCATAGCAGTACTCAACCCATTCATGCAGTCTGCTCCCAGTGAGTGGAAGTCACTGAATGGGCTGAAACTGAAGTTAGTAGATGCCAACCATAAGAACAGAGTGCATGATCTGGTGTGGAGCCCCAAATCTTAACCTTGGGAAAAGACTGGCTAGACAAATGTGAGAACTGGGAATAGCAAGAAGAGGGAATGTAGGACTGAAAGATGACGGCTTAGCATCTCATTACTCACCTCCCCAGCTCTGTCTCCACAGTGGTTTGAAACAACCTTTGCAGGCTTGTTTCTGATAACTAAAGGCAGAGAGAGAGATGACTACAAAGGATATTAGAAGAGAAGGGTGGAAAAACAGCAAGACTGAAAACAAATCTGCTTCCAGTGGGGTGTGGGGTTTAAAGAAGGGCAGTCTGTTCTGAACTGCACTGTGCACAGTGTGCTACACCGGCCAGTCCCTTACAGCAGCGCTTGCTATGCCATGGCAGGGCACGAATGGGGCTGGACTGTTAAGAAACCAGAGCCCTCTCAGCTTGCCTGGATTCCAGCCAGCAAAGGATGCTGTAAAAACCTGTCTGGCCGCTTTGGCAATGTGCACTATTTCCCATGGATGATGTAAATTTGCTGAGGCTAGAAAAAAAGAATGCCTATATTAGCAAAAAGCTGAAGGTAGTCTTGAGATCAAAGCAGGAAATCTGCATTCAATTCCCAACTCCAAAAGAACTTTTCCTTATGTGGTCTTGGGCAGACCAAGTAAAACTCCCATGCTTCATACCTGCACTTGTATAAGAAAAATTATTCTGCCTTCTGTTCCTTGTCTAGACTATGTAGACAGTGAGCTCTTGGGGAAGAGAAAGTTTTCCACCATGTGTTTGTACAGTGTCTGGCTCTTCAGGGCATCAGCCTTCACTATCCTTTCAACAGATATAACAAGAAATTAATAACAATAACAATAACAATAATAATAGCAATAATAAATAATCATCTCACTCCAGCACACAAAAAATAACTTCCCAAGCTGACCCAGACACCTGAGACTCAAGACAAAATATAAGCAACGTGACTAGTGGGAAGAGAAAGAGAAAGTAGGAAAAATCTATCAGAGCTTTCCATGGCTCAATCCATCGGAGCCTACTTCACTGGGGAAACAATCAATGAACCCCTTCTAGTGGAGCAGCCGCAGACAGGCTGTTCTGGAGGCAGTAAATCCTTGCATTTGTTTGTTCTCAGTTTCGCTCAGCTTATTTACAGCCTCGCAGGAATTTTCCTCCTTGCTTATCCTCACTCCTCTGAGTTTCTCCCAAGGATCATTCTGTTCATGCTGACCAGTGACTTCTAGGCCAACAGCTGCCAGCTTCACTTTGAATCCTTATTGCCCTTAAACTGTTTCCTCCAGGTATCTGGACTTTAACCTCTCTGAATTCCAGCTGTTGACGTATTTCGTCTTACTTTAAGGCGCAGGTTTTTGGTTTAGGATGTTCTGTAATCAAGTAGCTGAGTTTGGCAAGTCTCTGCCTTAAGAAACATAATCTTAAAGCAGGCAAATGGGAGGGAGGTGACACCAAAGCTAAGGGATGACGCTGGGGGCACTCAGATCATGCATGGGTGAAGAAAGCAAAGGACAGAGAAGAGCACTGAAAATCACTTGGCATCTGTGGGAGCAGAGATCAGCCACCGAAACCACAGGCTAGGCTTGTTTGTCCGTTACATATTAGTCCATCTGCCATCACTGTGCTTTCAAAATGCAGTGGAACAAGAGACATTCAGGTGACTGCAGCATAAAGGCAAGACTAAATTGGTTTTCCTTATTTAAAAACTTCCTCTTAGAACACATAGAAAGCAGCTCTCAGCACTTCTAGGTAGCTCCTGGGAACCTGGAAGCAGATTTTGATTCACAGATGTCCTTTGCTCCTCAGATTGCACGCGCTGCCAGGACCGGTAGAAAGAGCTGTCTAACAGCTTTAATGCACTTGGATTTGTCCCTATAGCTTCTGCTAATGCCTTGATTGGTGCTATTGAAATCTCTTCTTAAGCATATGGTAATACATTCCTCACTGATGTTCTTGCCTTTCAAAACTCAGACCTGGAGTCATCATTGTCTGTAATAAGTTCACTCTGTTCCTTCTGCTTTACAGCCTGCCCATCCTTTGATGAAGGAATTAATGCTGTTCCACAGCAAATTCTGATTAGTTTTTGGATTAAGAAATGCACTTGCTATTGATAAGCCTTGCAAACTCTGTTTAGCATCTGAAAATCAAATGACCTTTGTTATTCCAAATGGACCACCAGTAATAACAACTGTGTTTGCCAGGGTTAGAGAATGTACTAATGAGCCTTAATTACCCTGAAAAGCTTCACCTGGGTCCCTCAATAGGCACTCCATTTAAACTCCATCCTGCAACCTTCAGTTCTTGTCTGTGCTATGCTGGAGGTGAGCCGGCCTCAGGTGTGTTCCTGGGCTTGTGCCTTGGCTGACCTTGGAGCAAGAGTGCTGTTAGGACCTCCTGCCCACAATGTCCTTGGGGGGGCTCCTGTGCCATCACCTCCTGGCTCCTCTGCCCAGGGAACAGCCCTGCTTGCCTGGCTTTGGCAGCACAAACATGCTGCAGCCCTGGAAGGGCTTTTAGGTGACTTTGTGGATTTATTTATTAACTGTTTGAGAGAAAAACACAGTTGTTATTACAGACTATAATTCTTATGTGTTTTACTGTGTATGGAAATAAAAAGAAAAGCAATGTTTGCAAGTATGAGGTTTCTAGCTCTATTACAGCCTTAGAGCTCTAGTGGGCTTGAGGCAAGTGCTAAACGTGACCAACCCCCGAGTGTCCTCCCTTCTATTCTCTGTAGTGGAGCTACAGCACTTGCAAATATGTTTTGCTTTCAGGCTGCTGTTCTGTAGCACCCAGCTTACAGCGGCTTCAGCTATGCTTCATCCATAAAGAAGACTTTGGACTCTGATCTGCATTTTGTAAGAGCACTAAAAGGCCTTTCTGCTGTATTCCATAGGGTGGCTCTTGGTGATGATGATGGGTGAAAAGAACAAGTGTGTGAGGAACATCTTCCTTCGTACCCTAGATGATAGCATCTCTGATGGGGAGAGCAAGCCACGGACAGAAGATGTGCTCCATCTCATCCCTATCTAAAGCTCAGCTGCAGTGAATAAGGTAGACTTGGTTCCCAAAATGGGTGGGGTGATGTCATGATGTCTATGCCATTTCAGAGCAAACAGTGTTCAGCTCCTCTGGACAGCTGGTGCTTCTGAGCCAGTGCCAGCAATTCTCTGTGCCAAGAGAGAAATCCAGGCAACTAGCCTTTGGGAATGAGCTAAAACTCACTCTGCTTCTGCAGCACCCCGAATTCCTACCAGGATCTATTAAATGGTGTTGCAAAACCAGCCTAAAATCTTAGTTGGAACAGGTTGTGGAGACCTGTCCTCACTATGTGTGCTGGGCCTTGGGCACCAAGATGGGAGCAAGCCTTGATCTGCCTGAGGACAGGAAGGCCCCACAGAGGGACCTGGGCAGGCTGCTCACCTGGCTGAGGCAATGGGATGAAGTTCAACAGGACCAAGCGCTGGGTCCTGCGCTTTGGTCACAACAACCCCACACGTTGCTACAGCCTTGGGGCAGGGTGGCTGGAAAACTGTGTGGAAGAAATGGAGCTGGGGGTGTTGGTCGACGCTGGGCTGAACGTGAGCCAGCAGTGTGCCAGGGTGGCCAAGAAGACCAACAGCATCCCGGTGTGCATCAGAGCGCAGCCAGCAGGACAGGGAGGTGATCATCGCTGTGCTCAGCTCTGGTGGGGCCGCACCTCGAGTGCTGTGCTCAGCTGTGGGCCCTCACTGCCACACAGACATCGGGGCCTGGAGCGCGTCCAGAGAGGGGCAACGGGGCTGTGAGGGGTCTGAGCACAGTGGGGACTTATGGGGAGCAGCTGAGGGAACTGGGAATACGGGATGGGAGAGGGTGAAAGGCAAGGACGTGCACTCTGTGTGTGTAAATGCTGCCACAATTCGGCCGAGAACGGGCTTCTGCGGGGCGCTGGGAACCCCGCCGGGCAGGGCCTGCGGCTGGGCACCGCACCCGCACAGCCGAGAGGAGCAGCAGCGGCGAGGCGCGGCCCGGCCCTCCCCTCCCTTCGCGCCGCCATTGGCGCCGCTGGGCTGGGCTGGGCTGCGGGGCGGGGCGCCGCTCAGAGCGCCGGGCGGCAGCAGGTGGCCGCGCTCCGCACCGGGCTCCACGCTCCGCTCCGCTCCGCCTCGCCCCGCCGCCTCGCCGAGGCCCCCGCAGCAGCCAAGACGCCGCGGGCCGTGCTACGAGTGAAGAATGGGGCGGCCAAGCTGGCCAAGCCGCCGGCGGCTGCGGCGGGCGAAGCCCCCGGAGGCGCACCCGGCTCCGGGCTCTTCATGGAGCGGTCGCAGAGCCGCCTCAGCCTCTCCGCCTCCTTCGAGGCCTTGGCCATCTACTTCCCCTGCATGAACAGCTTCGACGAGGAGGACGCGGGTACGGGGAGGGGTGACGGGTGCGGGGAGGCGAGGCCGCGGGCAGCGCCCTGCGGGAGGGCTGTGCGGGACTGCGCGTGTCCGTCTGTCCGTCTGTCCGTCTGTGTCCGTCTGTCCGTCTGTGTCCGTCTGTGTCCGTCTGTGTCCGTCTCTCCGGGGTTGCACGGCGTGCGGGGCAGCAGACGCGGCCGTGCTGGGCTGTGCGGTGCCTGCGGAGCCCTCCTGCCCCACCAGGTGCGTCGGACCCACCGTGTGCGTTGGGCTGGGTGCTGCAAGGGAGCCCATGCGAGAATAAAGGAGGGATGTTTTTTCACGCGCTCGCCCTTCTGAGAGCAAAATCGCGATGTGCAAGATGAGCAGCCGAAGCTTCAGCCCTCTCCTTGTGCTGAGCTCTCTCCTGTGTGAGGCATTAAAGGACGGCGCTGAGGGAGGAGGTGGTTTTGCTGCTGGACGTTGCGACCAGCCGACTGCTGATTTATGTGCAGTCAGCTCTCGGGATGATTGGTTAGGGCTGTCATTAGCACAGCGTGCCGTGCTGCTTTCAGGATGGGGGAGTGGGGAAATCGTTCCATTTAATAAGGGTTAAGTGGATCATGAGACGAGTACAAAATCCTTTCAGAATGGTTGCAATGATTTCTGCCTGTGCCCATAAAATAAAGCCAGGCTTTAAGGAGAGGGTCATCAGTGAGCAAAGTGGGATAGCAGTAGCAAAGGAAGGGCACTGGGAGTGGAGAGCAGCACAGCAACTAGATGGGGAGTGAGGGCGCACCAGGGAGTGAATGGAGAGCAGTGTATGAGCACTTCATCTATCCCCAGTGGCTCAATCCTAAATGAGTGATGCTTTTCACAGTACAAACTGTGCCAGAGACTGAACGTGAATCCTCTGAGCAGCAAATGATGAAAGTTGGTAACTAAGACATGTTTTAGCATGGACCATGATGGTTGCATCCCTCAAAATGCCGGCATGCGCCTTTGTTAGCTCATCCCAGGATGTGCAAATGCCAGCAGGAATACATGGGCGAATCAGCAGTGCTGCACCTTTAACGTTGTTGTTTCTGGAGGAATTGACGTAAGAATAAATTCATCATCTGTGTGATTAACTTGTGATTGTCATCAGCATCTTGCAAGGATGCCAGGGAGCGGGCACAGGATTGCATCCCCCGATGGATAGATATTTAATTTTGTTCTCAAAATTCTGCTCATTATTTATTTTCAGTTCAGGTTCGGTTTGAATGCGTGGCAATAGCAGGAGCTTTGGGAACTCCTGGCACTGTTGCTTCAGAAATGATTAATGGTGAGACATGTTTGAGTACCAGAACCTGACACAGTGCCCTGGACAGCATTCCATTCCCTGGTGCCTGACCTCTTTGCTCTGTGCAGAGTGAAGGTGAAGCAAATACCTTATGTTCCAGTGCCTAGAAAAATGTTTTTGCTCAGAACTGTATTTATTTATTCACACTTACTGAATGCTCATGCATGAATGCTAATAGGCTGTTCTTAATGCAACACAAGTGCTTGTTTCTGAATTAAATGAATCTACAATTAAGACCTCATTCTCCATCAGCTTATTAGTGGCTCTTGCCTGCCCGAGTTAGTCATGTTAGCAAAGCTGTTGGGGTGATGTTCAGTACATTGGGGATGTTGCAGTATTGTTCCTGTATTTTCTGCTTCTTAATGTGCATCCAGACATGTATGAGCCAACAGCAAGAATGAGTGTGTGCTGCTTTGTAATGTTTTTTCATGCTAAAAAGCCTGTAATATTTTTTTTTGAGACAGTAAATGTCATGAAAGGGAGATTTATAACAGAAATGATGAGATTGTGCCAGGCGATATTCTGTGATGTTCATTGCTATGCACAGCCCTGAAATAGTGAGATTCTGACCACTTAAAGTTGCAAAGTGATTTCTTGCCCCCTCTCTCCCCAGCCAGTAAAAATATATATGTATCTTAATCACCCCATCAAGGAGATGAATGCTGCATTTGGCAAGGTGCTCTCCATAAGAGACAACAGCAAAAAAGAAGAAAAAAAAAAAAAGTTGATCCTATGGGCACTGACAAAATAACAATCGTATTTCAGACTGACACATCATCCATCTTGTCTGAAGCTGAGAGCTGCATCTTTAAGAGAACAGTCATCCTATGGAAAAAAAACGAGGAGTTGGTGGATGACTGTGGCATCCCAGTGGAAAGGGAAAGCAGCCAAATGAGAGCTACAAACAAGGAAAACTTTGAGCTTATCACTAAAGTTACTTTAAAGGGTGGGTCTGATGGAAGGGGAGTGGGAGGAAACTGGTCAGAGTGCCCGTGCTGAGAGGGGCGGTGGTGCAGGAGCTGCCAGCTGGGTTTGGTGGTACGTGTGGGTTCTGGTATTTCCCACATTTAGTCTTGGAAGATGGATCTGCTTTTTTTCATAATGGGCCTTTTCTGCACATTTGTTTCCCTTTTGTTCTACACTGTCCATCTTCTGGACAGTATAGGAGAAGACTCTTGTAATCTTTTACAGCTATTCTGCCTGCCATGAAACCATTGAGTTTGAACTGATTTCTCAGCTGCAAAGTAGATGCAGGTGATGCCTGCTTGTGACATAGCATGCAGGAGAAGCAGGCCAGTGTGCATGGGACAGTGATGGGAAGAACCTGAAGTGAGGAAGTGGTAATCTTTGGAATGCTTCCAGAGCCAGTGAGTGAGTGTGTGCTTGAGCCCCTGGTGTGTGCTGTGGCAAACAGGACTGTGTGCCTCTCTGCTAAGAGACCAATGTGGAGTGGCAGTGAAATTTGCACTCCTCTGTTGTAATACCCTGCTCGTTCCTCAGCTGCTTACACAAAGAGGATACTCTGAGCAAACACCGAGCTCTGTTCACCAGTAAACTGCAGTGGGGCTTTGAAAGAACAGAAATTACTGTCTGCACTCAGTAGCGTAAGGACGCTAGGTTAATCGCTCTTTGGTCTGCGAATGGTAATGTTGCCGTGCTTCCTGCTGGCTCAGTGCTGCTCTCTTCGCTCCACCAGGGTCCCCATCAATGTCAGTGGAAGTTAACGATTTTGAAACTGCAGTTATTATCTGCCTAATTGTTGTTTTAGCTTATGCAAACGCCAACGCTCTGATAATTTTTCAGTTATCGAGTAGTAGGCTATAAAGAGGTTACAGAAAACTAAGTGCAGACGTCCAAATGGAGACGTACCTAGGGCTACGAAGTAGGTTTACTTACTAGGGTTGTACAGGTGGTTCTGTGTTGCTCCCCTGCCCTGCTGAGGTGTGATAGGCTGCCTGCAGCCTGCCTGCCACCCAGGGCCCTCTGCTCTCCTGTCGTACTGGCTGCTGTTCATCACAAGCACACTAACTCTATTGTGGCTGCCCCCTGCGTGTGCACGTTTCTGGAGATGCGAGCCTGAAACCCTCCTTATTTGTAAGTGTGAACATAAATCTTGGTGGTTCTGAGGATCTGCCATGATGCTTTGTCTTGCCCTTGGCTAGAATCAGCTCTGCTGGTGGCAGCGTGTCAGAAAGACCTGAACTGCCAAGTGGCAAGTGCACATAGGTTAAAAATAGTGTGCTGGGGATTTATGATGACTGTGGGAACCTGCCTTGTAGACAGCTTGTGAGGTCTGGATGGATGCAGGTTGCAACTGAGGCCTGAGTGCTGCAGAAGAGTGCTTGAAAACC